AATGGATGGACATGGATGGAGAATATCTTGTGGTTGTGGTGGCTTGAGTATCAAATTAAACTATCTGCGGAGATAGCGATTGGGCTGTAGCAGTGTACTAGCACAGTACATGTGTGATTATGGGCAGTGTAGCGACGTACGATATATATAGACCTGCCGTGGTCCAAACTCCATAGACGTGCAATAGTCGCCAATTCCTTTTTCCTTTTTTTTAATAGGGATGGTGCATGAGTCCCACGGTTATAAGAAAAACCAGTACTTTAGAAGGTAGAGTATTGCACCGCCATTGGTTTTGAACCTTTTTTTGCAAATAAACATAATAAATTAACCCTTTTAGTCCAGAGACAACTATAGTAAGAATGGTCTCAAAATCAATATTTTTAGCCGCCTCTAAAAATGTCCTCTATTTTATTTTTTTAACCGTCGGCAGGAGAGCCTCTACTTTTTTTTTCTTTTTTTAACCTAGCCTAGAAATTCGTCCCCCGTGGGGATTCTAACCTGGCTTGCTGGGGTGCTACCGAGGAGCTCGAACCGCTAGGCTGGAGGTCCGTTCGTAATGCCCTCTATTTTAGAGGTGTCTAAAAAAAGCAACCGCCCCTAGAAAATTCCTTTCTAATAAAGACAACTAACCACATCTATAAATAAATTTGTAGAAGCGGTTGGCAATTTGGACTGCCTTTATAGCATAGTAAAGTTCTTAACTTTTTCAAATATAGTCGAATGAATGCAAACTTTTATATTAAAGTTGTAGTACTCGAAGATATCTACAACTTTACAATTGACTAATTTTCATTTGAAACCATTTAAGGCCTGAAAATTTTGTATTAATTTTTAATAATTTGAAATTGGATTTATTTATTTATTCAAATGACCTTGGATGGAGAAATGACCTAAACAAAAGTTGTAGTACTCAAAGAGATCTAAAACTTTGAAGTTGACAATATTTTCATTTGAAAGCATTTAGAGCAGGACATTCTTATTTCATTTTTCTTAATTTGAAATTCAATTTTTTTTCAAATGTTTTCTAATGATAACGGATGGAAAAAATGATACAAACCAAAATTGAAGTACTCAAAGAGATCTCCAACTTTATAGTTAACTACCTTCATTATACTTTGAACCATTGAGGTCCTAAAAAATTCTTTTTTAAGTTTTCAGCATTTGAAATTCATCTTTTGATTTTTTTTTTCAAATAACATCGGATTGAGGATCGACCTAAACTAAAGTTGTTGTACTCTAAGAGAACCTAGAATTTTTTTAGTTGACTACTTTTCATCTTAAATTGGTAGGGCCCCAAATTTATGTTTTAAGTTTTTAGATTTTCAAATTTATTTTGTTTAATTTTTCAAATGATCTTGGGCGGAGAAACAACCTAAACTAGAGTTATAGTACTCAGAAGAGATAAAACTTTTAAGTTCAAACTTTTTTTCATTTAAAATTTTTAGTGTGTCCATATTTACTATAATATATGCTATAGTAAATACAAACTAATTATATCAATCACTTAGTCTGAAGTAAAAGTGGAGTGGTAAGGAAGAAAAACGCAAGAGCCGAGGTTGTGAGTTTGATCCCCACGGCCGCAAATGTGTGTATTTTGCACGACACATGGCTGTCGGCAGTTGCCTTGTTGGCTTCTCCTACGGTAAATAAATCTTGCTATTGTTTATCCGATTTGCAAATTCCGTAAACAATTTATAGAGGCGGTTGGATTTCATCCTGCCTCTAGAAATTGATCTCTAGGGGTGGTTAGGTTTTGGCCGGGATTTCTAGAGACAGTTGATAGTTGCCTAGAGATGGGTGGAATAGTCGTCTCTATGAACCCATTCTACCCACCGCTAAAAATAGTTTATATAGTAGTATTTTTCTTTGAACTAATAGATCCAAATAGAGCCTAATATCTATGTACTATCTCTATTGTAAATTATAAGTAGTCATGTGGTTTTTCTAGATATATTGTTAATATGACATATCTAAATATAATATATATATCTAAGTCATAGCAAAAACTATGTGTATAAAAAAACTAGAACGACTTATAATTTGAAGGGAGGAAGTACCACTCACATTGACATATGAGCACACGCACTAACACGCACCTTACCTTGTCTTCATTAGTTTAATAAACTATTATGTCAAATTCATATGTTAGTTCAAAAAAGGACTGTAAGTAGTGTGACCACATCTCAGTCAGTGTCATAGTCACTTCAATGATTCAATCCATATATATATTTCTCTTGTTTCCAAAAATAAAGAAAATGATGTATTTTACTCATATTGTCTACTGTTCCCTCCATTCTAAATTATAAAAGATTTTGGTTTATATATATATATATATATATATATATATATATATATATATATATATATATATATATATATATAGCTTTTACTATATATCTAAATGTATAGTAAGAGCTATGAATCTAAAAAAGTCAAAACGTCTTCTAATTTAGAATAGATGGCCTAGGTTGCACTGATGGATTACAATAAGCTTTAGTTGTCTATTTATATTACTATCTATAGTAGTGACGTGCTCAAGACAAAGGCAATCGTTTTCAATTAGTCAGTTGTTCCACGTACGGAAAGGTTACTTTAGTATAGCATGGGAGACAGTGGTGGGGGGTGGGGGTGGGGGTTGGGGGGGAGAGAGAGAGAGAGAGTTTCAGTTAGTCACTTGTGCACCTCTGAAGCAAAATTCTAAAAGGCGTGTGTGAGGCAGAGGTGAAAAAACAATAAAAAACCTATCTGATTTTCACATTTATATTTATATCTGAAAAATCTAAAAGGAAGTTCGTAAACATGAGCGACATATGATTCATTGATATAGGAAACGAACTAATATGAACATGAACACCTTGACAATGATCCAAAATAAAAACATTACATAACACTAACCCATAGAACCAAGAATGATAACTTCAATTCTCGACTCAACCAACCATAGTTCATTGTTCACCCTCACATATAACTCAGAAACAAGTATAAAAGCAAATGCAAACGCACACTCATGCGGACACAATTTACTACTCTCCCCGTTCTATTATAAGGGCAGCCAATGCTAAAAACCACGTGTAATATTTATATATACAAAACTATGTTACCAATAGATAGTTCTATAGAATAATTTTATGTCCAATCACATGTCTTATTTATCTATCTCTCTATTACATCTCTTCATATCTTGGTTCTCGTGTAGACATGGTTTCTTATCGAAGAAACCATTTTCTCATCTCTCGTCTTTAACTGTAGTGCCACATTATTTAGTTGACACTTTAATTAATGAACAGAGAAACCATCTATTGTTATGATTGGGAATGGTCTAAGACGTTTTGGATTTTCTAGATATATAGCTTTTGTTATGCATTTAAATATATTATACTAGATACATAATAAAAATGTCAAAAGTTTTTATAATTTGGAATGGAGAGAGTATTTAAGGTGCAACTCCCTCTAAAAACAAATTCAAGAAATCTAACAATATATGGTGAAAAATTGCATATCCCAACAAAAAAGTGGGAAATGCAAAAAAAAGTCTAAAAACACTAAACTATTTTTGTCACATTTTAATATCCATCCAAATACCAAGGTCACTTCTTCGTTCTTTCAATATTCTCTCTAGAATATAAAAATAGCATGGGATGAGATTTCCCTCAGTTTTCATCCCAGTGTAGAGTGTGGGAGCTGCTACCAGCCTAGCAACATAGTCCACATAGCTCCATAAGCTAAAGACATATGCATACCTATGTAGCACATATTCTTAGCACTTGTTTGAATACACTATATTTAAATCGATGTATGTGTTCGAGTAGATTGATATAAAAATTAGTTAATCTTTCACTCTAATTCACTCCATATACATACGGATCGAGGTAAACACGTGTGCATCTAAATAAGGTCTTAGTTGATTTAAGTTTAGCATGTTACAGTTAATATATACAGTTACTTGACCTCCGACTTTACCATCACTTATTTATAACTGGAAATAGTATAATAAGACTTGTAAAGATTGAAGATTTCGCTTGACGGCAGTCAAGCCAACACGACGGCTTTGACCCTTTTCGTCGAATGGCTTCCAAGCACTTTTCTTACTTCGCGCGCCGCCGTCGTGCGACAGCCGTCCGCCAGTCTCCACACCCCCTAGCCGTCGACGCATGAAGAAGCCGCCATTCCCGTGCCGTGCTTCGCCGATGCGCGGCGGCAAGGGACTTCCCTGTCCAAGGCGCGGGAATGCGCGGGCTGCTGCCACGAGATGAGCTCGGTTCGGCAGAGATGCCGCCAGGATCGAGCTCCTTCCGTGCGTTCGGTCTTGGTGGCGCCCTTTATATCCATCAGTGACACCAGGGTAACGAAACAATGTTCTATTTGTCCTATGTAGTGCGACTTCAGATTCAGGTTAGGTTTACATTTCTTGATATAGATAGGATTTTTTTTTCGGGCTATCTGCCTGATTGTGAGACATTGCAGGTATTAGGTAGTTGTTTGGCAAGGCTCTTAAAAGTTCATGGAAAGGCCACTAAAATACAATGTCAAAAGTATCTCTTCTCAAAAAGAAGCATGCAGATATTTGTATCCGCATGACAGTAATCCTTAAAATTGTAAGATTGTAAACTGAATTAATTCATTACATCTCAATCACCTTGTTGACTATATTTGTTTTTTTGGAGGTTTAAATTCTGGTATGGAATTAAAAATCTTTACCAGACAAATCAAAACGCAACATATTTGGTTATTTTAGTTAGATTCAGATCCTTCAGTTCAATCTATTCTTACACATCTGTGTGGTATATTTAGTATGACTTGTTCTCACTAGTTCATATTGCAGGCGGTTGCGGGGCTTGTGTTGTCCTTATAGCAAAGTATAACCCAAAGACGGATGAAGTGACTGAATTTACTGCAAGTTCATGCCTGACACTTCTTTTTACACTATAAATTTCTGTTCGGTTATCACTACTGAGGGTCTGGGGAATAGCCAAGATGGCTTTCATGCTGTTCAGGAAAGGATGTCTGGGTTTCATGCCTCTCAGTGTGGCTTCTGCACTCCTGGAATGTGCATGTCTATTTTCACTTCCCTTATCAATGCTGACAAATCCAAGAGGCCTGAACCACCAAAGGGGTTCTCAAAACTTAAAGTGTCAGAAGCAAAAAAGGCTTTCTCTGGCAACTTGTGCAGATGCACTGGTTACCGTCCAATTGTTGATGCCTGCAAAAGTTTTGCATCAGATGTTGACTTGGAGGATTTGGGCCTTAATATATTCTGGAAGAAAGGTGATAGGAACCCAGATGTTAGTGAATTGCCAAGTTACACCCTTGGTGGCGGAGTCTGCACCTTCCCAGACTTTCTAAAAACTGAGCTAAAATCTTCGCTTGATCATCTGAATAATCCTTGTATTGCAGCCTCCAGGGAGGGTTGGTATCATCCGAGAAGTATCAAAGAATATTATGAGTTAATAAATTCTTGTCTATTTAGTGACTCAGTCAAAGTGGTTGTTGGGAATACTAGCAGTGGTGTACCAGGATACAAGGATCAAGACCTCTATAGTAAGTATATTGACATAGGAGGCATTCCTGAACTTTCAAATATTGTAAGGAGGGAGTCTGGCTTTGAAATTGGAGCAGCTACATCAATCTCTAGAACCATTGAGATACTTGAGGAAGAATGTGAATCTATATCCTCTCCAAATGGGAGTGTGGTTTTCAGAAAACTTGCGAACCATATGAGCAAAGTTGCTACACCTTTCGTTCGTAACACAGCTAGTATTGGAGGAAACATAGTTTTGGCACAAAGATTCCCATTTCCATCAGATATTGCAACCATACTCCTCGGTGCTGGTGTAACTGTTTGTCTTCAGGTAGTTGCAGAACGGAGACAAATTACTTTGGAAGAGTTCCTAGAGCAGCCTCCTATAGATTCTACTACTTTACTCCTGAGCATATTTATTCCACACTGGATTCCAGATTCTGGGACAAACACAAGTTTGTTATTTGAAACTTACAGAGCAGCGCCTCGTCCTCTTGGCAATGCTGTTTCATATGTAAATTGTGCTTTCTTGGGGCATGCTTCTGTGGATGAACAATCAGATAGTCTTGTTTTGAGTAATCTGCGGTTGGCTTTTGGTGCATATGGAACAGAACATGCTATTAGAGCAAAGAAGGTGGAGGAATTCCTTACTGGTAAATCACTCACTGCATCGGTTGTACTTGGTGCAATTCAATTACTTAGAGAAACGGTTGTACCAATGGAGGGAACATCACATCCTGAATATAGAGTCAGTGCAGCTGTTGGATATCTCTTCAGTTTCCTATCTCCGCTTTCTAAAGGCATCCCAGAGCCTGGAAAGTCTCTGGCCAGTAGTTCTGCTGATTCAGCAGATACAGATGATGTCTGCAATCTGCCATTATCAACGCGTCGAGAAACATTTTCCAGTGACGATTATAAACCAGTTGGTGAACCGATTAAGAAGTATGGTGTTGAACTTCAAGCTTCTGGTATGTGGTTACATTAGAATTTTTAGTAGTGTTGTCAACATATTCTCCAGAATCTTTTTTGCAGAGCAAGATTTGATGTTTCTATTGTGTAATACAGGGGAGGCAGTATATGTGGATGATATTCCTGCTCCAAAGAATTGCCTCTATGGAGAATTTATTTACAGCACACAACCCCTTGCTTATGTCAAAAGTATAAAATTCAAGTCTTCTTTAGCATCAGAGAAGATCATCTCTTTTGTTTCTGCAAAGGATATTCCAAGTGGAGGACAAAATATTGGATCATCCTTCTTGTTTGGTGACGAACCACTATTTGGTGATCCGATTGCTGAGTATGCTGGTCAAGCTCTTGGCATTGTGGTACTTACCCTTTCATGTTTGTATTATAACCACTCACAGGAATTGTTGCTCTCTTGAAAATCTCTTTGATAAAAGACAATTATGAATATTAATGACCATAACCAGTATTGCTAAATCATTACCTCTACCTCAGATTGCAGAAACACAAAGGTATGCTGACATGGCAGCCAAGCAGGTTATTATTGAATATGACACAGAAGATTTGAGCCCACCGATCATAACTGCGGAGCAAGCAGTGGAAAAGAGTAGCTACTTTGATGTCCCCCCAGAATTGTATCCTAAAGAAGTTGGTGATGTTTCCAAGGGCATGGCAGCAGCTGATCACAAGATCCCATCAACAGAAGTATTTTAGTTCAACAACTTTCCAGAATCGTTAATAATTTCATTTCACTTGCATCATAAAATAATGTAGGGAAATTAAAGCATGCAGTTCTATGTGCTCCAAAATTTAATTTTTCATCCTGTGTAGAGTCAGCTTTGAACTACACTGTACATACTGTTGCATTAATACATCAATAGTCAAAGAAACCTTATCATTTGAGAAGCCAAACGTTGAGATAATCCGCCTGAGTTGAATACTACGAAACCACTACTTCTGAAAGTTCGGATTACTGAGTCACTTTTGTAATGGTTACTTCAAAGTAATTGCTAACAGTAGCTACTTCGAAGTTAAGATTGAAGTAACAATTACTAATAGTAATTCTCTGTTTTGTTTTGAGGTGATCGAGGTGTAGAACAGTACTTGTGTTAGATTAATAACCAACTGTCGTGGTATATGTACTGCTTGCAATCCCATGAAATTGATCTGCACACTGGAGTTGCAATGCTTGTACAGCAGTACACCCCACCAACCAAACTACCAAAGTTATTTCCTGCTTGATGATTTTGATCTTTTGAGTCTTGATATGTGACTTTAGCCATTACTTTAACTTTATGTAAAGTTAAATCACTAGAATTTATCAATAGTGTAATGTTGGTGACTATTTTTATTGTCACATTTTTTTCGAAAGGGTGGCAAAAGTTTTGCCGCTAGTTTTATTAGGAAGAGAAAAATAAAAACAAGTGCGAGCCCAGTTCTTTTAGTGAAACTGGGTCCAGAAATCACATGACTAATGACACATTTAGTGACTCATTTTTTTTGGTATATCCAACTTTGACTAGAAATATATACATGTTAAAAAATTTGGGATGTTTCACATAGATAATAAAGCGTCAATTACAGTGTAAGTTTAAAATATAGAAGTTTGAAATTGCATAGTAAGACCCATCAATGTACTTTTCACTAGTACCTATCCTACTTCCCTTTTCATGGAAGCTAAGTGAGGATATCTCATGTAGTTTTGATGACTGCAGGTAAAACTTGCCTCTGAGTACCACTTCTACATGGAAACACAGACAGCACTAGCAGTTCCAGATGAGGATAAAACTTTGGTAGTCTACAGTTCGTCACAGTATCCTGAACTTGCACAAAGTGTCATAGCAAGGTGCCTAGGTATTCCATTCAGCAATGTGCGTGTCATTACAAGAAGGGTTGGAGGAGGCTTCGGTGGAAAGGCATTCAGATCATTCCAAGTGAGAATAAAAAAAACTAGATCCTAATAACTAAAATCTTCCATTTTATGAAAATTAATTATTTTTAAAAAAATCTTTACCCTAGAGTATAATTTATTGTACTTTTATATCTTTTTTAACTTGTGATGAGGTCATTGCATGTTTAGACCAGGACCAGTGCTTCAGTTAAGAGCTTTTTCCTGACTTGCAAACTGGAAAGGACATCCAAAGTTTACATTTATAGTACAGATGAAAAAGTTATTATTCTGTTTTCTATATAGACAGTTTTAAACTTTAAAAATTGTTACATGCAATATTTTTTCTACTTTGTTAACTGCGTTGTTTGTGGAAAATAAATGTTGTATTGATAGTTTGTAGTATGAGGTTTGGTTATGTAGGAATCATGTTTTCCGAGGAAAGCCATTTAGGCCTAATGGACAATATATTCATTTAAACATGCACTTTTACACCAAGCAAATTCTTCAAACTCAGACGCTTTTATTTGGGCTTCACAATAGAAAAACCCTAGCCCAAAATCAAATTAAGTCTCAGTGTCCTTTAGAAGATCTCTAGCAACTATTTTAGACTTAAGTTGACATATTTGATATTTCCATCTGTGGTGATTGCATATGACCATCTGCTAACAATATCATGAAAACATAAAGACCTAGTATACATTACCATCTGTTTCTTACATATGGTACATGCTTGTGCAGGTTGCAACGGCAGCTGCACTTTGTGCGTACAAGTTACGACGTCCTGTACGAATGTACCTTAATCGCAACACTGATATGGTTATGATTGGTGGTAGGCACCCAGTGAAAGCTCATTATTCTGTCGGATTCAATTCTGATGGGAAAATTACAGCCTTGCATCTAGATTTATTAATTAACGCTGGGATATCTCCAGATGCAAGCCCCTATATACCAGGCTATATTATATCTAGTATCAAGAAGTACAATTGGGGGGCTCTGTCATTTGACATCAAGCTCTGCAAAACAAATAATTCATCTAAATCTGTAATCGTGCTCCTGGAGATGCACAAGGCTCTCTAATTGCAGATGCTGTAATTGAGCATGTTGCGTCTGTCCTGTCCGTGGATGCTAACAGCGTGAGGGAAAAGAATTTTCACACCTATTGTACTCTTCAGTTGTTCTACCCAGACAGTGTGGTGAAGCTTCTCGTATTACATTGCATTCTATTTTTGATAGGTTGGTCTCAACTTCAAGCTACCTGGATCGAGCTGAATCCATAAAGGAATTTAACAGTAACAACAAGTGGCGGAAGCAGGGGCATCTCTTGTGTGCCCCTCATTTTTAATGTAGAGCCAAGGGCGGCCCCAGGAAGGGTTTCTGTGCTCAATGATGGCTCCATAGTGGTGGAGGTTGGTGGAATTGAAATCGGGCAAGGTCTGTGGACAAAAGTACAGCAGATGACTGCCTTTGCTCTGGGAAAATTATGGCCTGATGGAGGTGAAAGTCTTCTTGAGAGAGTGCGTGTTCTACAGGCTGACACCTTGAACTTAATACAAGGTGGACTTACTTCTAGCAGCACTTCTTCTGAATCTAGTTGTGCAGCCACCCTTCAGGCATGCAATATGCTGTTTGACAGATTAAAGCCAGTCTTGGATAGGCTGCAGCAGCAATCAGAAAATGTCTCATGGGATACTTTGATTTCTCAGGCAAGTTTATCCTCCTCTAGTTTGTGCTCATGCTTTGTACAATACTAGCAGCAATCAGAAAACATCCTGTAATGTTTCCACGCAGGCCTCTAATGATAATGTTAATTTATCTGCAAGTGCGTACTGGGTACCTGGCCAAGTATCTAATAAGTACCTTAACTATGGAGCTGGTATAAGTGAGGTGCGCCAAAATTCTCAAGACTAATATACAACAGTGCAGTTAAATCATGTTTAGATGTCTTATAGGTGGTACTCTTTCTATTCAAAATCTTCTAAAAAGTGCAGGTGGAGATTGATCTTCTTACAGGAGCCATTACTTTAATAAGGGGCGATCTTGTGTATGACTGTGGGAGGAGCTTGAACCCTGCAGTAGACTTAGGACAGGTTTGCTGTCGATCCTTTTATGCTTCCTGTCTTAACCAATTTTAATTTTGAATGTAGTTCATTTGATTTATAGAGTATAGACCATAGTTTTGGAATGGATGAGGTTAATATAATTTAAGTACATCAGAAATATGAAGCACATTTTCTGTTAATTGTTTGATATATATTAGAGGGTTAACTTGCTGGGTGGCATTTTCAAATGAAAATGGGTTAACTGCTGGGAATTTAATTTTATATCTGGAAACATTCAATTTATTGCAGGTATAGTTTTGAGATGTTGCATGTTTCTTTTTGTCCTCGAACTACGTATCTTTAAAGAGAAATTATAGACCCTTACAACACAATCCCCATAATCTCAGTTAAGAGGGCGATGCGAAAAGAGAACAAAAAGTGATCACCTGATACAAAATGACTGAATGTTGTATGTTTTTATATTTTGCATCATTCAGTCTTGGCGACATTTGCAAACACTGTATCTTCCTGACTAGTAATGTGATGGATATGCTAACAATGAGATGCAACTAACTGATAGAACTAACGTTGAGCTATTTGGCCATTTCCCTTGTCAAGACTCAAGAGTTTACTCTGCTCTGTTGTGCTCCATACCGATCTCTTGAACATATAAGTACAGCTAAATACTGGCACAGGTTTTGCAATATAGCAACTGCCTTATTGGGCTCTTGTGCATAAATTTGATGGCACCATATCTTATCCATGGAATTTTTTTTGCAGATTGAAGGTTCCTTTATACAGGGAATTGGTTTTTTCGTATATGAAGAGTATATTACGAACAGTGATGGCCTGATGATTAGCAACAGCACATGGGACTACAAGATCCCAACTGTCGACATAATCCCAAAGCAGTTCAATGCTGAGGTGCTGAACACTGGATACCATAAGAACCGTGTGCTTTCTTCAAAAGGTAGTCACATTTGTTACTTCCTCATTGCAGTGTAGATTGAAATAGGCTTGGTAGATACCAATCAATTTGTACTGTTTCTTCCAGCTTCTGGTGAACCTGCCTTGGTTCTTGCCTCATCCGTTCATTGTGCACTGAGAGAAGCTATCCGGGCAGCAAGATTGGAGTTTGCAATCAGTACTGTATCTGGACGCTCACCGCTGGAATTTCAGATGGATGTCCCTGCACCAATGACACTGGTGAAAGAACTGTGTGGTTTAGATATTGTGGAGAAGTACTTAGAATGTCTATCTACCTGTGAACGTGCGGCTGGGGCGTAATCTAAAGTCATATGTTATCGCATAATAAAAAGGACTGGCATCAGCCTATTGTTTGTTGTTTACAAGAAAACATGCGCGTGTCGAGTGTGTGTGGATGAGCGCACAATATTTGAATGCTTTCAGCCATCTGTATTCATGAACCCTTATTAAAACTACTGCAAGTGGTTATGTTAAGTAATTTATTGTTATGAAGTTTGAGTGCCGGTCAATTTTATAAAATATTTTCCTGTAGCTTAGTCAAAAAAGCCTGAGAACCGGAACCGTTTTATTTGAATGGACATTTCATGATTTATCTATCTATCCATACTCTAAAGGAGCAAAGGAATTGGAAAACACTTGTTACCTTAAAAACGTCCTACCCATAAGATCTCCACCTTCGTCCTACCCATCTAAGATCTCCACCTTTAGATTTACATTTAACGCATATGATTATTAGTTAACTGTGGGCAACACACGTTTTCCCTCACGAAACGAGCACCTCCGATCCAAGTTTTTTCACCGCAAAACTTTCTTCACCCGCGTACCCACGCCCTCGCACCCTACCCGCCCGCCGTACCCGCTCAGCGACGCGACTCGACTCCAACCGCTCAGCTTCTGCCGTTTCCCATCCCCTCCAGATCTGCGACGCGACTCCAACCGCTTCCCTCCCTCCCCCACGCGCGACTCCTCCCATGCGAGGCCACGACGTACGCCAGGACGGGATGCCGGCCACCACGGCCGGTTGTCGGCCACCAGGCACGACCACATGCCTCCAGGGCCGGCCGCCGGCCACTGGCCACCAGGCACGGCCGCAGGCCACCAAGCCCGGTCGTTGCTCACCAGGCACGGCTGCCGGCCACTATGGCCAGGCCACCGGCCATCAGGAACGCTAGGGCCTGCCTCCGGCCAATCCGTTGCGGCGGGGGCCTCCGAGCCGCCGCATCAGGCGGTTACTCCCACCGTGGCTGTGTCGGTCGCCCCCGCGGCGGAGGAGCCCAGGGGCTCGGGGCGGAGGCGGCCATGACGCGAGGAAGACTTCGAAGTGCGCCCCGCGCTCGCCATCTCCGTGTCGGACCACGCAGTGCTCGTCGACGCGGACTCCGACCAGATCCGCGCGGCCAAACTCATCAGCCTCGGGGCCGTCGCCGGGTACGTGCTGCTGGCGGGCGGGAACGTGCGCCGTGGTGAGCGAGCCGGAGTCCTGGGCGATGCTGGCCACGGCGGCCGTCGAGATGGTGCAAAATATTTGAGGAAGTTCAGCAAAAGGTGATTCATCGTCATCCTCAACCTCTACTACTACTACCGGTTCCGTCCCGCCTTTTTCGTATTTGATTGATGTTTCTTCTCCATCTTCATGAGTTTGCAGGGCAAAGTGATGCATGCTAGAGATGATGTACCCCCAATCCCCCATGGGGTCAACGAATTTAAAACTCATCAGTGTTTGAATTGGTTCAACCTTTTGTTTTCTTTTACTGCAATGTATGGTTATATCTTAACGGGTGTCTTCTATCTCTATTCATCTCCTATTCCAGGTTTTTGCTTTGTCACTTGCAGTAAATTTCAGTTTCTTCCTCTTATTTTTTTGTGTAGGAGAGGGGTTCCTCGAAGGCATGCTGTTGGATAGATGGCTTCTGAATTTGGTTCGCATATGTGGTTTTGTTGAAGACTATAGCATCGTGGACACTGACCAACTGTAAGTATTGGTTTCTGTACTCTGTTTAGACCGGTGATCTGTTCTCTCATTATGCTATATCCTTATGCCACTACATGTCAGTGTTGCATTCATCCAATGAGAGGTTACAAGTTTCTGCAGCCGACTTTTGGGAAGCTCATGTTTACATAAAATATTGTGCAGTAACTTGCATATCTACTTTGCTGTGATTACCGTATAGTTAGTTCAACGATCAGCTTTTACTAGCTCCTTGACAGACACCGAGCAAGTGTGCCTCTCGGCATGCCGGCGCTGCCACTCAAGAGCCTGGTGAGCCTCGGGGACCTGCTGGGCTTTGACACTCCTGAGTTGGAAGCCATCACAGCAATGAGAGGCATGTCAGGCAGTAGCAGTTCATGAAAATGGCATGTCACACATATGTGAAACCCCCTTGGAATCTGATGTTTCTGCTGTAATAGCAACTCTGTATCATTTCTTTTTTGTGTGAAACTTAAATCCCATTTTATTCTTCACTATGGAAACACATATCTTCTTTTTCTTGTTTTCATGTGCGTGCTTGAAATATTGCCGTAGCGTGCTCTGTTATGCATTATTTTTTGTTTTTTTTATCTGCAGTAGATTTTTGTAGAAAAAAAATTGGTAAAATGGGAGTTCTTCAGCCGGACTTCTCTGGATCTAAAAAATGTACTTCCAGTTTTAGAGACCCTCTTTTTAGCCTGTGCCTAATCTTAATTTTTTTTGTTGCTACTGTATTCAGCTGGACTTGTGTAGTTTTGCATCTTTCTTACCTGTACATGTAATTGTATATAATAACTAAATTATTTCAACAATCTTATTTTGACAGCTACCTAACTACCTATTTCAACAAATAATATTAACTCAGGAAGCATCTGCAACCAAATTGCAGCATATTGCATTGTTGACATTGAGCCGTCATTCAATCCATTTGCAGAATTCTAGATAAATGAGCCTTGTGGCCTGAGGATGTTTGTTTCTTAAGTGATGAAAAATCAGTAAAAAGATATTCAAGTGTATTTTTGTTCACTAGACTTTTCATAGTAGATTGATAGGTTTCTGTTTGTGTGTTTTGAAGGTGGTGGTGAGCGCAGCCGAGTTTCTCAAGCGCAACGGCGTAAGCCTTGGTGAGCCCGCTGCTCTTGCTTCATATTACCTTGTCCACCTTCTCTCAGTCCTTCCCGTTTTGATTATTCATTTACTGCAGTCTGTTAATGTTTTAAGAAGAACATTATCGATCTTGTAAGCTGAAAATAATCAGCGCCAGACACCAGCGTCGCCATGTGCGTGGAGCCCGGATGTCGTCTCCTCCCGTCCCACCGCCATCGTAAGGTCTTCACTATGAGTGCAGGGTTGAGATGGCTCATACGCACATGTTGATCGACTCGTGGTGCCCACCTTCCCCTCTGCTATGTTGAGGTATGTGAACCCCCCTGCGCTTGCCTCGACTAAGTTCTTTTCTCAAACAATTACATCTGTAGAATTTGATCTTCTGTATCAATTTTTTTCCATTAATCCTTGACGCTTTTGATGCTTGTAGATCTACTAGAATTTATTTTAGTGTGGGCAATTTCTGTTTTGTTTATGTTCAGTGTTGAGCAGTAGATGCTTTGTTTATATATGTTCTCTATATGAGCAGGATTAACCATTAATTAGGAGGAGCCAAGGAGGCAAACATATATGTGACATTTGTCCTGCATAATTAAATGATATCATCTTCATGTAATTCTATTTTGGAACTTAATTAATAGTAACTCCACTAAGTTTTTTTTATCAGATTTGCAATCAGTAGTTATGATTGTTGCCTCTGGTGTAGCTACTCCAGATCTGCTTAGATGGGTTGCTCAGTATGGAATTACATTTTTGAACTACTTTTTAAGTAGAATGGTGTCCTTGTCACCTTTGTTGGGGTTGTAATTCTGGACTGCAGGTACGAAAATGAACCTGTCATTGAGTTCTCAAAGTTAAATGCTATGAATTAACCGATTACCATATTGTGTTTTTTCTCTCTCATTTGATGCCCCTACTGACTAATGTTGCTCACCTTGATGATGGCGCAAAGCGGTTGATCGGTTGGAGGTTCTCTAAACCGTTCGTGCAGAGTGATAGGAAGCTATAGTAGTTCAATGTCATGGCTGGCCCTGGGGAAAAGCAGATGAACGTGATCAACTACAAGGGCGAGGAAAAGCAAATTATCTGCCAAGATGAAGGATATCGTTGAGGCCCCAAGTTATTTAATTGTATTAAGATGAGCATCATTTATTAAAGTTTTAATTCTTACGCTCTATTTTGAATAATTGTTTTATATTGATACATATTTCAAAAAATATATATGGATATATGTTTATGAATAGAGTCGAATCATATTCACTATGTATCAAAAAGTTTTCATAGCAAGTGCGAGTCGCACGTGCATGTCTACTAGTAGCATTAAAGGGATTAGTTCACATAATATATCTATTTAGTGTTGTTGTGTTAAGGTTGGCATTGCCTTGTTAGTTTTGATGTCATTATGGCTGCTAGCATTAATATTAATATTAATAATCTGAAAAATTGTTAATAGTTTGATAGGATTTAAGGTACTGTTTGGTTCAAGCCTGGGAGCTGTAATCAGGAAGCGGCACTATCTGTTACAGCTTAAGAGAAATGTGACTTTGTCTGGTTGACAGCCGCATCCGTGGCTCCACTTAGCGTGATCTGATAACAGCAGGAGATCGAGGAGCGGTATCGGTGTTGAACTAACCCATATCAGGTCCCTCCATCATCGACCCCGGGCTAGCCAAACCAAACAAGAGTAACGCGATCTGATATCACCTTGAATGGTTCCGGGTCCAAAAACACCGAACAAAACACCACTTGAGTTCTAAACATATAAAGATTACTTCATTCTATTATATCAGGTATGCAAGTTCCTCATCCACCACTGTTTTAGGAATTCATCCTAGATATATGTCATTCCAGCTGATTATACTGTGCGTGATACATCAAATTACTCGTCGGTGGTAAAAAAACAATGTATACTCCACCAAATGATATGGTGAACAATGTCGGACAAGTCCAGTAATGAGGGACTAGTGTTGGTGAGTAAAGGAACGTCGACAAGGTAATATACCTCACTGGATGATATGGTGCACCAAAGGGTAAACAAGTTTTTTTTTTCAAAAAAAAAATTCAAAGGGTACTTGGGGTGGATGGACTATATATATGGGTTTCTACTCACTTTCCTAATGGTAAGCCTACTTGAAGCTAGAGCAATGGTATCCACACTCCATCCAACCTCTCAAGTGTATAAAGATCACATCCAAGGCCAGGATAGACCTCACTTTTCATCTCT